AGTTTCAGGAACATTTTAAATATTTCATGTATTATAGGTCATGATTTTCTGTTGTAGACTTTTCTTGCATTTTCATCACCATATGAGGGAGAACAGCGCCACCTTTTGGTTGCCATTGTTATTACTATAGAAATCCATGCTGTTTTTTTAATACACTTTATTGTAATGAACTGTCTTTAATGTTGTTTTATAAATGTTTCTTCATAATACCCTAATGTGGTGCTTCTGTAAAAGTTTTACGTCAATTTTTTTCTCCCTAAATTCACTATAATGCCAAAAAAATCAGTATCATTACAGTAATTCATCTGAATTCTTCTGAGATTTATTTCTGTATTTTGTAATTATTTTTAAATGATAATAACAACGGTTAGATTACTGTATAAAAAATTATTTGTTATTCAAATTAGCAGTAATTTGTATTTTAGTATTTATATATATATAAAAAAATAATAATGATAAATGCACAATTAACAAATAATTAATGCTAAAAAATGAATTAATTATACTTAATTTATGATTAATTATTAATCATTTTATAGCAACACTAAATTCTACCGTGCTGCATGATTTTTTAAATAATAAATACACAACTAATAAATAATGAAATCAAAAAATGAATTAATTATACTTAATTTATGTCTATAAATGAATAATCACTCATAATTAATCATCATTAATTATTAGTTATTTTAAAGCCACACCAAATGTTACCATGATGCATGGATTTAATAATAAATACACAATTAATAAACAATTAAAACTACAAAATAATTATAAATTAATACTTTTTTAATAATTGATAATTATCAATAATTTCAAATCACACTAAATAGTACCATGATGCATTAACTACAGTAATAATAAATAATTAAAACAAAAAAATAATTATACTTTATGATTATGAAATAATAATTACTTATAATTAATCATTATTAACTATTAATAATTTTAAAGCTATGCCAAATACTAACACCCTGCATGTTTATATATATATATATATAATAAATAAACAACTAATAATCGTTTATATATCTAAATGAAAAAGTATTTTGTACCTGAGATGCAAAATATTTGACCTCTGCAATCTCAATAAAATCCTTCTTCCCGTGATTACAGTTGCCTGTGATTGGTCCATCATGAGCAGCGCTGACAAACGTAACGTGTCACATGACACGGATTTATTCATCATTAGAATAAAAACAAGCTGAAGAGTTACAGTAGAGTGTCAGAATAACCCTGAGTATTATTATTAGCACTGTTGTATCTGACCAATCAGAGCCAGCATCCAGGCTGCTAAGCCCCACCCACTGTCAGAATCATCAGTTTTATGTTAATGAGCGCTCAGTCCCTTGTGTTTCTATCTGCAGCTCTGGGTCAGATCATGCTGTATGTGGATGGGATGAACGGGGTCATAGGTCACACCGAGACCATCCAGTGGCTCTACCTGCTCACCGGCTCAAAGGTGACACACCATTTGAACAGTGTGTGTGATGTAGTTCATGATGAGTGAGATCTGATCCGTGTGTGTGTGTGTGTGTGTGTGTGTGTGTGTGTGTGTTCAGTTTCGTCTGGTGGTCAAAACCTCTCTGAAGCTGCTGCTGGTGTTTGTTGAGTATTCAGAGTCCAACGCACCGCTGCTCATCGAGGCCATCAACACTGTGGACTCTAAGAGAGGTACAAACATAAATAATACAATTTATTAATAATAATTAATACAATAATAATTCATTTAAATTTGCATAAATTGAAAGCCAAACCTAGTACTACCATGATGAATGAATTTAAAATAATAAATGCACAATTAATAAATAATTAAAGCTAAAATAATCATGAATTATACTTATATTTTTTATTATAAACTAATAATTTCTTATGATTAATAATTATTCATTATTTTAAAGCCACACCAAATACTACTATGATGCATTATTTTTTTAAATAATAAATAAACAATTTATAAATAACTATGAAAATGTTATTAATTTATCGTTATAAATTATAATTAATTCTATAAATAATATAAATAATTATAATGAATATGTAAAAATTAAATAATTAATTTATCTTTTTGCAGTACATTAAATATATGCAGTAGATATAATTACAAACATTTACAATAAAAACTATTTAATAATAAATTAATTTAGTAACAGTGATGGGAGAAAATGTTTAATGGTCTATGAAATAATGTCACAATGCAATAATTCCTTATCTTATTTCTTTTAGCTGATATTATGATGTTATGTAAAGAATGATAAATGAATTCTTTAAATAATTAATAAACAAATAATAAATAATTAAATATTATTAATTATTAATAACAATGAAATTATGATTATAATATATTAATAAAAGACACCAGCACTAAATGCTTATTTTTTTGCTCAGTCGTGAGTTTTGAATGATTTGGATTATCATGTGATGTGTGTGATGTGTGTGTGTGTGATGGTCAGGCTGTAAGCAGTGGTCAAACGCTATGGAGATTTTAGCAGAGAAGGACGGTGTGGACACAGAGCTGCTGGTGTATGTGCTGACCCTTATTAACAAGGTGAGACACGCACTCACCAGAAAAATGGAAATGGAAAAAAATATATATAGATTTTTTTTTTTTTGCGGAAAATAATTAAATTATTATTTTGGGAAAAAACAAACAGATTTCACAGGGCTGTATTATTGTTAAATTTATAATAAATAGTTTTATGAATTAATTTGTTTAGACATGGTTTTTTATTTGATTTTGATTAAAATTTTATTAATAAATTAAAACGGAATCCAGAAAAATTTAAATGGAAAACATAGAATTTTTTTTTGTAGAATTTTTTTAAATTATTATTATTATTTTAATAAATTAATAAATGGTTGAATTCAGTTGTTTAGACTTTTTTATTTTTATATTGATAACAATTTATTTTATTTATTTAATAAATTAAAATGGAATCTGGAAAAAAATCTGGAAAACAGAATTTTGGAAAAAATAAAACAGATTTCATATGGATGTGTTGCCCATGGAAGTGTTTCAAAACTTAGTTGTTGTCTTAGAAGGGAGCAGCTTATGCAGACAGCAGTGCAGTTTTCTTGACCTGGTAAGGACTCTAGCCGCTGCATTTTGGACTACCTGTAGCTTGTTTATTGAAGATGCAGGACAACCACCTAGCAGTGCATTACAATAGTCCAGTCTAGAGGTGAGGAATGCATGAACTAGCTTTTCTGGATCAGAAACAGGTATCATGTTTCGTAACATGGCAATGTTTCTAAGATGGAAGTTGTTTTGCTGTTTTTGTAACATGGGAAATATGATTTTCACAAGACAAGTTGCTATCTAATATAACACCCAGATTTTTGACTGTAGAGGAAGTAACCGTGCATCCGTCTAGTTGCAAATTGTAATCCACGAGATTCGGTGTACTGTCTTTTGGTCCAATAAGTAATATCTCTGTCTTATCAGAATTTAATAGGAGAAAATTATTGGTCATCCAATCTTTTAAATTTTTAACACACTCTGTTAGCTTAGATAATTTAGAAGTTTCATCTGGTCTTGTTGAGATATATAGTTGAGTATCATCAGCATAACAGTGGAAACTAATCCCGTATTTTCTAATAATATTACCAAGTGGCAACATGTATATTGAAAATAGCAGAGGACCTAGGACAGATCCTTGTGGCACTCCATGTTTTACTGGTGATAATTGAGATGACTCCCCATTTAAATGAACAATGTGGTAGCGATCGGACAGGTAGGATCTAAACCATCTTAAAGCCTGCCCTTGGATACCTGTATAGTTTTGTAATCGATCTATCAGTATGTCATGATCTATAGTATCGAATGCAGCACTAAGATTTATTTACATATATTATTTGATTATTTTTTATTTATAGTATCAGTTTAATATTTTATTTATACTATCAGTTTAATATGTATTATTTACATATTTTATTATATTAGTATTTCATGTATTATCAGATTATGTATAATTTATATGTATATTTTATTATTTTATGCATTATTTACATATATTATTGTTATTTACCGTATTATTTTATATATGATTGGTATTATGTATTATTTACGTATATTAATTTACATATATTGTTAAATTATTATTTGATGTATTTACGTATATATTATTGTTATTTACTATAATATTTTATATATTATCAGTATTATGTTTCATTTACATATATATATATATATAGTTAAATTCTTATTATATAATAAATTCTTTACATACTTATACATTATTATTTGTATTGTTTTATATATTATCAGTTTTAAGTATTATTTATTGTATTATTATATTATGCATCATCAATATTATTTACCTGATTAGTTAACAGGACAACTCAAAGGTGTTTTTGATCAGACATGATTAGCGTGTTTGTGGCGGGGTTGGATTTAACGCCGTCTCCAGAGGAGCGTACAACAGAAAGCAAACACGAGTCCCTGTGTATTTTACCCATGATGCTGTTCTTCAGCACATCAGATCACAGCAGCAAACACACACCTGAGGAGGAGGAGGCCACAGAGGCCACAGAGGCCCCGCCCCCTCCTGACTCCGCCCACCCGTCTCTCCTGGCCAGTCTCCTGGCACACCGCCGCTCGTCCGTCAGCGTGCCGCCGTCCAATGAGATCAGCCCTCCGCTGCGAGGCTCCGCCCACCTGCCGTACCTGATGCACTCGCCCTTCTTCCTGTTCTCCTACGATCTGGAGGAGCAGGAGGAGAGCGCGGCTCAGAAGAGCAGCAGGTAGACGCTTCAGCCACGCGTATCCCATGATGCACCTGCTCACGCGTGTCTCTGAGCCCACCGAGGCCAGCCAGAGTTTACCTGCTGATTCCCTCCTCACTGATTCACTGGGCACCTGATATTCTGTCTGCAGTGTGAATGCGTCACGTAATGGTTGTGATGTGATGTTTAAGCTTTAGGTGAACTGCGTCTGACGTCACAGCGGATTCAGGGATCACGTGACTTCATTAACACCCGCTCTGTCCGTGTGTCGTTTCTCGCAGGTCGTTTTCTGCTAGTTCTTCATCCACACAAGCCAAACAACACAGTGACAGGTGAGCTCAGCACTTTATACAATACAGACTGATTCTAAGCTAAACATAACAGTGTTAATGCTGTAAAATTAATCAATTATGAAACTCGTTCAACTTCAGCTGTAAAGCAGCCCTACAGAACATTATTCAGATCAATATTGATTCAGTTTAGTTCAATAACTGTGTCAATATTATATTATCAATATCTTTTATTATTTACATACAATTAATATTATTATTATTATATATGTTTTATTACAGTATTCTATTATAATGCAATATTATGTATTTTTATTTTATATATTATAATTTTTATATTACCAGTATTATTTATTATTTACACATATTACTATTTAATTATTTTGTATAGTGTCATTTATATTTACTTAAATATTCAAATGTATTATATTACATTATTTAATATATTATCAGTATTACTATAATATATATATATATATATACATACACACACACACACACACA